GTATATTTAGTATAAAGATGCGGTTTCAGCACGTTGGGTCAGGCTGGTCTCAAATTCCTGACCTCAGTGATACAACCCCGCGCTTGGCCTCCCAGAGCGTCTGGATTACAGGTGTGAAACCACCAGGCCTGACTTTTTTTTTTTTTTTTTTGAGGTGGAGTCGTGTGTCTGTCACCCAGGCTGGAGTGCGAGTGGCGTGAGTCTTGGCTCACTGCAAGACCTCTGCCTCCGCTGGGTCAAGCCGAATTCTCCTGGCCTCAGCGTCCTTAGTTAGGCTGGGATTAACAGGTGTGGCAGCCACCCGGATGCGCTGGCGCTCATTTTTGTATTTTAGTCTAGAGGTGAGTTTTTTCACCATGTGTTGGCAGGTCATCGTTGGAACTTCTTGGCCTCAAATGAATCTTGCCCACCTCAGCCTCCCCAGAAGTGCTTAGGGACCACCACACGGCCTAGAATACAAATTTCTTATTGAGCTAGTCCAGGTGCTGCTTGCACAAAAAAATTAGCTGGGTGTGGTGGCGGGTGCCTGTAATCCCAGCTACTCAGGAGGCTGAAGCACAAGAATCACTTGAACCCGGGAGGCAGAGGTTGCAGTGAGCCAGGATCGCGCCACTGCACTCCATCCTGGGTGACACAGCGAGACTTTAGCTTCAAAAAAAAAAAAAAGAAAAGAAATTTGTATTCTATTCCACTTAAGAGTTACATGACCATAGGCAAGTTACTTTCCTCTTTGAGCTTTAGATTTCCTGTCAAAACCGAGAAAGCTATGAGTGTTTGGGATTGTTTTATGGGCTTCCAAGTCATTCCTCCAGTCTCCACTCAGCCATCCAACAAGAAATCTCACGATATGCCACAGTCTGTTTTATGGGCTAGCTCCTATCATATAACTCATTAGGCCTCTGCATTCCTTTTCACCCCTTCAACATAAGAATAACATCAGGAAAATCTAAAGGGAAGACACTGGACAGAGAGAAGATGAGACCGTTCATTCTTCTGCGATTATCTGTCACTGCTTCTACTTTGGCAGTGTTTCACTGTGTTGCCCAGGCTGGTCTCAAATTCCTGGCCTCAAGCAATCCTCCTGTCTCAGCCTTCCAGAGTGTTGGGATTATAGGTGTAAGCCACTGCACCCAGCCTTTTTTTTTTTTTTTTTTTTAAATATTCTTAAGGAATCAAAAATTAGTCTTTCTGATTTAGTGAAATCCTAAACTTTACCATATGGAAACAGAATTTGCAGAGTAGCTTTTCTTTTAGTGTTTTAAATTCAGTTGAGACTACTTTTAACTAAATTTAGCTGTATGTTTAGACATATACATTTTTTTAATTCATTTTTGACAGATCTTCAGGATTTATTCCACAAGGCTGGCCAGGACGTGGATGGGAAGCTGACCTACCAGGAAATCTGGACCTCCCTAGGTTCTGCTATGCCAGAACCAGAGAACTTGAGAGCATTTGATTCCGATGGAGATGGAAGATACTCATTCCTCGAGCTAAGGGTAGCTTTAGGTATCTAGCCTCATCAGGCATATTTTAGAAATGGATTGCCTAATATCTACTTACCTAACAACAAAACAACCCTTACTTACCCATCAGTCCTCTAGTCCTCCAAACTACTGTAGCAGATACTTTGCCACCTTTTAACTTGTTTGAAGAAGCTATATAAAAGTTATTTTTTTAAAGAAGAAGACCATTTTACTTATGATGTTCAGAAATCTATGATTTCCTAAAACTAGTAAGATCTTACATTTTAAAATTGCCAGAAAAAAAAATTAAAGCCCTCTTTTTTTCTCTTTCCTTTTTTTGAGGGGAGGAGACCTTATCTTTTAAAGCTGGGAAATGTATATAGAGAGAGAATAAGCCACCTTTTATATTTCACTTAAATTTGCCTTAAATTAGCTGCACTTTATAGAGACTCAGAAAATGTCTTTTCTTTAAAAGATAGGCCTTTTCTGTGTGTAAATACTTAAATGAAAGAAAGCATTGTGCATATTGTGTGGAAAGTAGGAAGAATGGTTTTGAACAGGATGTGAACAAATGACTTATTAAAAATTGCTGATCTGGTGTGGGTGGCAGCTGAAACTGCATCCATGTCTCCATAAGGCATCTCTCAAAGGCCCAGGCGCTGCCAGGGGGTTTGTCCTGGTAGCTGGAGGAACCGATTTCAGGGAGTAGACACTGGAGACAGTACTGACTCCAGGCATGGCTCATGGAAGTAGGATTCTGGTTCTTTATTCCTATTCCCTCAGCTAAACCCAACCTGGGAATCAGAGAGGTCTTGGGGATTTTTCTCATTTTTAGTACTATTTCAGGGTTTATGAGCATAAAAAGTTATCCACTGGGGAGCTCCATTTTCCCCGCTGAGTGAGCTAGATTGCCTTCCCCCACCCACCCACTTAAGTCTGTCTTAAAGCCGTAGCTGGCTCCCACCACCAGTACAATCTCCATTCTGAATGGCAGGGCTAAATTCCCCAGCCATTGTCTCACACTGACCACCCAGAGCTTTAGAAGAGAGCTGTGCTTCTAATTTTGACCCAGAAAACCATACCCCTTGAGATTTTACCTAGAGGCTAATCAAGAGCCTGATATGTTTCTCTGGGGAATGACTAAAGCCAAAAAGGTTGTGAGATGAAACATGTGAAATAATATTCCGTTTCCTTACAATTATCAGCTCAGAAGTAGCTAGAGGCTTTCTATCCAAAGGATGCCAAAGTATAGCAGGGCAGGCCTGGAGCTGGGGCCTTCACATCGTGGTAGCAAGTATTTCAAATCTAATACAAGCAAGTACAATACTTCCTATTAATGCTTCTGTGGACCTGGCATGAAAGATCCCTAGATTGAAAGAAATAATACCTCCATGTCTCCTGTATGTTGAGTCTAGAATTGCTGTGTTGTTCTTAGAAGCAGTCTTGGGGCAACAACTCGAAAGGAAAAAAAAACTACGAAAACTTAACATTGCTATAGGCCAAGTCAGGGAGAAAGTAGAGAAGCTTTCATGCCACAGACTTCTTTAGTGGAGGTCATTTCCTTTTTAATTTTATTCAGATTGCCCTTCAGCCATGGATACAGTCCGGTACCCTTAAACATTTAAGGGCTGTTTTTTTCTTTACATGATGTTCAGCTTGGTGTTGACTAACCTTAAATTTTTTTTCTAGAAGTATTAAAATTTAGTTAAAGCAAAATGAAGTCTTTTCCCATGAATGTGTCCCCTTATCTCATTATAGCTTATGCTCAGTTTCACTTTCTTGGAAAGGTTAAAATGAATTAGCCTGGCACTTTAGGTAACTTGAAAATAACTCTCACCCTTCTGGCTGCCTTCCATCCACTCTCACCCTCCACCTTTTTTTAATATATATACACCCTTACAGATTTTCTAACAACCAAATAAAATTCTAGCAATAAATTGAATTATACTGCTATATTTGTATATACTGTACCATAAATAGTATGTCTGTACCTGGAAGGTATTTTTTTGAAAACTGATTTATATGAAATATACTTGAGGGTAATGTAGCTTGTCCTTTTTAGTTTCAGATTCTTATTCATAGGCAGATTCTTTGAAGACACCTTAACTCTTTGTTGTGTGTACTTTTCCCTTGCATCAGATAGCTATATGTGGAGAAATCCATTTTGTTTTTTGATTTATCTTCTGTTCTTCCTACCTTGTGCTTGTCTGACTAGTATCATCCCTGAGCCAGTATATAGTACCATCCGCTCCCCCTACCAAGTTTGGCAGAGGTGTTTATGCTGCATTCTCAGATCTATGAATATTTTTGTCATCCTGCCTGAGAAAGTACTATATCTTCCAGGCAAAAGTAGGGTATCTTGAACTCCTGAGTTGAGCAGACTCACTGGCTTAAGCGTCCCATAAGCCTATTATTTAGTGTGAATTTGGTACTTTCATTTGTGTGTTGTCTTAACTTACTGAGCCTGTGACTTGTATTCAGCTGTAGTCAAGCCTCACCAGCCATATCTCATCTCTGAGAGGAAGACTGGATAGTGAATTTGGTTTGGGTTTTGGTTTTAAATCCTTTTACCTTTTCAGTCTGGCAGCTCCTACTGCTGCTTTCCTAAGTTACTCACTGCTTCTTGGTCCTTGTTTTCTTTTGCCTTGTACTATCTCGTATAATGTTTACTAAAAGAGCCTCCCCATAAATCACAGAGGCAAAAAGGTAGCATAGAAAAAGAAGAACCAAAAGAAGAGAATACCTGACTTCGAGATGACTGTGGTGTCATCTAAAAGGCAGAGAGGTGCCTGACCCTCAGGAAGGTGTGTGATGCAACAGAGCTGAAGAGTGGGTTCCCGTCACCTACTGCTGGCCATTGTCCCTTCTGTTGGAGATTCCTTTCTTTATGGTTGCTGTTCATAACCCCTTCAGCACCCCCGCTTGCTGGTCCTGCCGGTCACAGTTGAGGATTTTGGCTGTGATGGGCTCATACTTATAATGGCCTGTTGAGTTGTTTTTAGTGACAGGTTTTGTTTGCTGCACACCTCATTGGCTTGCTTACCAGCACCAGCTAGATGTGGTCCCTCTTTCATATCCAAACCGGAACACATTTGGGTATTCCTGAGACTTTATAGAGCGTGTATTGTTTGTTATACGAACCTAACCTACCTTGTTGTTTTCTCATATTAAGAAATTTAAATCTACTTTGTTTTAGTGGAGCTATTTTGGTAACATATAAGCAATTTTGGTTCTGTTTAGGGAGAATTCAGGGTTTCCATGACTTGATTTGAGCTTTGCATATTTCATATAAGTAACACAGCCATTTTAATTTAGCTAAATAAAAAAATTTCTTTTTCTCTCAATGTGTCTTGACTAAAGCCTCTCTCACTCCCCTGCGATTTCTAAGGGAAAAAAAAATCTGCTTTGATTTCTATTTTTATGGACGCCTTATGCCTTTTGAAAGCAAGGAGTAACACATGGTGGGCCCAAAGTAATTAAGAATCTGCCTTAAGGACTGTGATATTTGGCCTGAAGAAGCAAAGGCCGCAAGGTTCAGGCGTTATGCATCCAGAGGATGGGAGGGGCAAGGTGAGGCAGGAGTGAGCCCTGCCTCTGTGTCTACCCAAGATGCTCCACTTAGGCCTGTTTTATATTTTGAGAATCAATATAAAAGCGTGTTTGCCATAAATGTTCCACCACCTTTAAAAAAAAAAAAAAGCTTAAAATCTGTTGCTAAAGAGGGGTCATACAGGAGCTAAAGCTTTTTCACACACAGAAAAAAAATAAATTAACTCTACATGTTTGTTTGCTAGATTCTGGATACCTCCTCCCCTTCCCCGCACACAGAATCTGGTGACCTTCCCCCTTAGTCATTATGTAAATGACTATACATAAAGCTTTTATTACTTACAAATATAATGAAAGGATTTGTTCATTTCCAAAAGGAAAGGGAGAAACACATATCCTGTGATAGAGCTGGGCTTTCTTACCTCAAAACTGGAGCCAAATGGCCAGTATTATCTTTGTCTCACCTTTTAGAACCATTTCCAGAAGTACAAACATTATTAATATTCCCATGTGATGGATCTTAATTTTTGGGAGGGGGACATGGATTCCTGTAGGAAAGGTAAAAACTAGGGACATATGTCTACTTATAATGTTAGGCAGTTCACTGACCAGCCCTTCCTCCAAGCCAATTCATGGACCAACTTAATGACACCCTACGTACAATCCAAAGCATTCACCAAGCATTTTCTAACACAACATGTCATTAGGGAAGGGGCACTATGGTGTATGGTGGGAAGATCAGTACCTTTGATGATCAATGACTTTCATACCAGTAACTTTGATGAAAGGCAGATGTAGATTTGAGAACTGGCTCTGCAACTAAGAAAGGTATGGCATATGCCCTTGGAACCTGTCTCTTATCCATAAGAGGAGGATCATGATATCCATTTGGCAGTGTTCTTGTGAATTGTTAGAAATAATGTACAGAGGCAACCACGTAAGAGCTACATACATCATAGATAATAACAAAGAATGTATTTCATCCCGTAGTGCAGTGTGGCTCACAGGGCTCGTGATGACTCGTTTTGCCTGTGCCATAGCCACTGTAAATCACCATAGCTCACACCCTCAGCAGCTATCACTCTTGTGGCAACTGTGCTTCACATCCCACAGAACACCAGTGCCTTGGGGTACCCAGGCCAGGGCCTGGCACACGTTTTTGTTTTAAATACTGAACAGAGGGATATTGAGTCCATCCACAAGTGCTGGTTCAGTGCGTCTCCCCACAGCCAACCTCAGTGCCAGTTCATATTGGTGAGACTCAGCAACCAACTTGGTTTGCAAAGTGACCCCATCAGACAGGAAGGACACTGCCTTCCTAACAGCAAATGAGACACGAGGGAGCCTTGGACTTTTTTTTTTTTTTTTTTTTTTTTTAAATTTCATAGCATGACATCCAGGTGGGTCCTGACCTCTGTCAATACCGCCTTCTTGAGGTTAGTTCCATTTCCTACTCTGCACCTGATTCCTGCAGCTCCCACCCTCAGTGAGAGGAGGCTACAATTCTGAAGCAAAAGGCTTGGCATTGAAGCTGTGGTCTTCATGGGCCAGATTCGGGAGGGAATGGAAGAGAACATTCCTTTCAGGACAGGTGGCTGAAGGATAGGAGACAGAGTGGTTCAGCAGCGGGGGTAGGTTGCACAAGGGTGGGGCAAAGGGCACCTCCTGAAAGATGGGAAGTGGAAATGGGGAGCTGGCCTGGGGCTGCTGTGGAGCCCCCTGCAGTGCAGGTTGCAGGGGAGCGGGGTCTTCCGCCTTGGAGTTACTGACTTGGTCAGCATAGCTCCTGCCTTCGGGGATGTCCAACTCCCACAGAACATCTGGATTCTGGACCTCAGTCTCAGTCTTGGTGACAGCAGGGGGAGGGCCCGTGTTGATGGCTGCATTCATGCCGTAGCGCCGTCGCTTATTAATCCAGTACAACAGTGGGCTGTAGGCGAACGTGGCAGCTCTCATCACCTCCACCCACTGCTGGGCACGCTCTTCCCGCCTCAAGTTCTTCCTCCAGTGCAGAAAGATAATGCACCCTCCAGTTATCACAGAACACAGCCCCAGGAATCCAAAGTACAATGAGACCCACACTAAGGCAACAAGAAAGAAAAAGAGGCATGCTGGCTGATAGCTGTAGCTTGGGGCCTGAACTGTTTCTCATTCCTCTTTCACTTAACCCATTCATCAATCACTCCATCCACTTAACTACTCTCACCATTCCTTCCCTCCCTCGTTGACTTGCCTCATCATTCTCTTATTCAGTCAAAGCTAGATTTCCAGGAAGCTTAAGCACCACCTTTAACTCTTTACAGATCAGAAAAGCTATGTCTAGAGGGGCCATGTGCTGCCCAGGCTCAGTCAAGCCTCTGATTCCTAACCCAGGACCCATCCAATCCATCAGACTGAGAAGTTTCACTATGGGCAAGTCCATCAAGAAGTAAAAGTTCACCAGCACTTTGTAAGGCCCAGGCGGGCAGATCACCTGAGGTCAGGAGTTTGAGTCCAGCCTGGCCAACATGGTGAAACCCCATCTCTACTAAAAATTTTAAAAATAGCCAGGTGTGGTGGTGCACGCCTGCAGTCCCAGCTACTTGAGAGGCTGAAGCAGGAGAATAACTTGAATCCAGGAGGTGGAGGTTGCAGTGAGCCTAGATTGCACCACTGCACTCCAGCCTGGGCAACAGAGCAAAACTTCATCTCAAAAAAAAAAAAAAAAGTGAAAGTTCATCAGTTGACAGAGCCACCAATGTCCCATCCCACTCCATTCAGCTGTGATGGTCCTGGGCTATTGATAGTATCTTCTCTGGTTGATCAGAGCATGGTCTTTGCCTTAAAAGAATCCTTAGTTTTCTAGAGTAGACTATCTCCTAACTGCTTAGCTCTCTTCCATGCAGCCAGGCACTGTCCCATCCATGCAAAGTGTTTGTCCCCAAGCCCTAAGGCACAAGTCCAGTGACAGGGACTGGAGGAGCACTTACTCCCAGGGAAGCGCAGGTCCTCCTGTTGGGAATCCATATGGTTGAGCTTTGGTACCTGGCCGATGGCTCTGGGGAGAGGGAACTCACCCACCCATCTGCCCAGCCAGTCAGCCTATCTGCCCAGCCAATCAGAGTCTCCAGAATGCCCAGGCCCTTTGTTCTCTAAAGGAGAGGTCACTGGGTTCTGAGCATTGGGCATTCTAGGGGTAGTGCTTGTGAAGTGGTCCTGGGTTAATGGAAGGAGGGGACATCATCCAGTGGCATTTTTTGGGTGGAGTGTCTCTACTACTTCTATCAGAGACTGGTTCACCTATTGAATTGTCTGCCCCTACCCCTTATGGTGAACCCACAGAGCAGACCCCAGGAAAGGGCCGTCATCCCTCAGGGATTTACTGATGTTGCTGATCTTTAGGGAACAGTTGATGGGACACCTGACCCCAGTGAGGAATGTAACAAGGAACACACAGCATTGGGCAGCCCTGTTCTCAAAAAGTATCTAACCAAGTTGCAGGAAAAAACCTGCTCAAGGGAACCAAGTGGTCAATACCTCCTTCTTTGGCTCCAACAAACTGTCTTTTATTTAGTTACCTTCCTTCAAGTGCTGACAAGTGTTTCCCAGGCACCAGGCCCTGTGAGGCTCCCCACCATCTGGCCTGCATCTCCTGCTAGCCTTACTTCCCTCCTCATCCTCCACACACCTTTCCCTTCTGCCTAGTCCATACTCCTGAACAGACCCTGCTCATTCACATCTCTGGAGGTGTGCTCATGCTGCTCCTTCACCCAGGAGTGCCCCTGCCCACTTTCCCACCACTGAACACCTACTCATCCTTCAGGACTCAGCTCAGCTCCCCTACTCTGTGACAAACTGCCCAGAATCATATCATCTCCCATTTGAAGGAACTTTGAGAGTTGTCTAGTTCATCTCACACCATCTGGTCCTACCATCAGGACCATGCTTGACTCCTGGGGGTAGATTTTTCCCTACACAGCAACTAATCCCCTTGGACTCAGTACTCACTTGAGTCAGGAACTTGCTCACCACCTCCTGAGGCAGCTTGATGCATTTATGGGCAGCTCAGTTAGAAAGCCCTTCCCTAATTAAGCTTAAGTCAGCCTTCCCAGTAGGTTGCACCACTGCTTGTAGCTCAGCTTCTTGGCACCATTTTAATGACTCCCCTCTTTATAGTCCTCCAGTGTGTGACTTAGGGAACTATTCAGCACAGAATTCTCTCCAGGGTCCACTTACCCTTGCTCTCCTCCTATATCACTGGCCCCTACTTTCCATTCTCCTTTGCTGGTTTCCCCCTTTTCCCCTGATCGCTAAATGTAGGCATGTCTAGGGCTCAGTTCTTAGTGCTCTATCTACATTCATTCCATCAGTTATCTCACCCAGACCCCTGGCTTTAAATATCACTATACACTGACAGCATACAACTGTATCTCTCCAGCCTGGAATGCTCCTCAGAACTTTTAGACTCATACCCAAATACCTGGTTGACATCCCTCCTTGCCAGTCTGTTAAATTATCCCAAACCAGTATGTCCAAAACCAAACTCTGATTATCCATCCTCCAAAGTCTACTTTACCTACAGCCTTCCTCCTCTTCATAAGTAGCATCTCTGTCCTTCCAATTGTTCAGGCCAAAAACCTGCAAGTCATCCTTGACTCCTTTCATTCTGTCACACCCACACTGACTCCACCAGCAAGATCTGTAGGCTTTTATTTCAAAATACAACCAAAATCTGGCCACTTTTTTCTCTCTGTCACTTTAGTCCAAGTACCACCATCTCTCACTTAGATTACTGTTCTCCCTGTAGGGTGACCAACATCCTGGTTTGCCCAAGACTGGGGTGGTTCTCAGGACATGGGGCTTTCAATGCTAGAGCCAAGAAAGTCCTAGGCAAACTAGGACAAATTAGTCACCCTTGGGAGAGTTTCCATCCTTGCCTCCACATACCCTAAATTCCACCAGCAGCCAGCATGATCCTTTTAAAAAGGATCATGTTGCTCCGCTGCTTAAAACATATAGTAACTTCCGATCTCATTAGATTTAAAATCAAAGTCCTTAACCAAGGCATGAGCAATCTAACTAACCCTCCCTATACCTTCTTGGTCTCATTTCTACCGCTGTGCCCTCACTCATTCAGACTCAATAACCTCCTCATCAGGGCCTTTGCACTTGCTGTTCCTCTACCTGGAAGGCTCCTCCCCCAGCATTCACACATTACTTTCAGGTCTCTGCTCAAGTGTCCCCTTATCTCTCTCTCTCTTAGCCTGCTGTTTTTCAGCACAGCATGTAGCATCACCTAACATTATATGTTTATTTATTGTCTGTTTCACTCCTCCAGAATGTAAGCTCAATGAATTAATATAAACAAGGATCTAAGAACTTCAGATAATGATAACTGCTATAAAGAGAATGAAACAGAGCAGTGGGATAAAGACTATAAAGAGATGGGGGGGGTTTGTCATTTAGGTCCCTTGAAGGTGCTTACATGTGAACTGAGCCCTTAGATGATGAGGAGGCAGCCACATGCAAATCCACAGAGAAAACAGCAAGTGTGAGGAGTGTGAGCCAGGTATGGGCTGGCATACTTGAAGGACTTACTCATCTTCCATTACACTGTTAGTCACACAGGGCAGGGCTCAGGGCTGATCTCCATGAGCATAGGTTGGATTGAGCAGAGTTGAAGGCTCTGCCCTTGTCCCGGGAAGGGTTTCAATCAGACAAAACCCAGACAAGAAGGACCTGATGATGAGTACTGTCCCAGAGAGCCCACTCCAGGACTGGCCCCGTTCTGTGAGCAGGTGGGACACAGAGATGTTGATGTCACTATCCCTGACCCCAGGACCTCGCACCTGGTTCACACGGTAAGGAAGATTGTGGCATTTGGGTTGAGAGAATGGAAAGAGAGAGGATTCCAGGGGTCAAAAAGGGCCTGAATAAGGACTCTTCAAGGAGTAATCCTGGTGTTTCTTTGGGAGAGAATAGGTCAGTGTGGCTGGAGTTCAAGGAGGATGTCAGGAAGCAGAGGAAAAGGAGGCTTAGGAGGCAGCTGTCATCTTGAAAAGAGCTCAGCTCTCGGGTAGAACTTGAACAAGTCACATAATTACTCTCGGCCTCAGTTTCCTGATTTGTTAGATGAAGATAATACCTGCCACACAGAGTATGAAGCCGATCAGTGTCCTGCACATAGCAACCTCAGTAAAGAGAAGCTTGCTGCTGTGATTATAGTTGATGAAGGACCTTCGATGCAGAAGGACGGACTACTACAGCGAGTACCTGGCACTACAGCAAGTGCCAGGGGCAAGCACCGCGAGGACCTGGAGGTCCGCTGGCTTTAGAGAGCGGACTTAGCGCGCAGAGGCTGCTGGTCCCAGAGGGAGGAAGGGCGTTGAATTTGGGCAGCCTCCCTGGAGGAGGCGGGCCGTGGCTTACACAGGGCGGCGAGAGCGCGCAGTGCCGGGGCTAGTGCGGCGCGCCCCCTCCTTCCCGCCCCGCCTAGCCGCTCTCCTGCGCCCGGAACGTTGGGCGCGCGGAACCTCGGTGCCGGAGCGCGGGCGCGGCGCACTCGGAGCGGGATGGAGCGGGCGCGCGGGCCGCCGGCTGAGGCCGATGCGCCTGAGGAGGAGGAGGCGGGGGCGGCCATGGCTGCTGTGGTGGTGGCGGCTGCAGGTGGCGCGGGACCGGCGGTCCTGCAGGTGGCCGGTCTCTACCGGGGCCTGTGCGCGGTGCGCAGCCGCGCCCTGGGCCTGGGGCTTGTGTCACCCGCGCAGCTGCGCGTGTTCCCAGTGCGCCGCGGCTCGGGCCGGCCCGAGCGGGGCGCCGACGGCAGCGGGGTCGGGGCCGAGGCCGAGCTCCAGGCCAACCCTTTCTACGACCGCTACCGCGACAAGATCCAGCAGCTGCGCAGGTGCGGGCCCCGGCTGGCTGGAGGCGGGCAGGAGGCGGGAGGAGGGGCGGCCCGGGCTGCTGGGCCTTAGGACAGCCCTGTGAGGTGGGCACTGGTACTGTCCCCACTCTTCAGATGATGTAGCCAGGCTCCACGTGGCTAGGTCACTTGCCCAAGATCACACAGCTAGTTGGTGTCAGAGCTGGGAGTCTGCAAAGCCCTGGCTCGTTCCACGTTTGTCTGTGTTTTGGTTCTCCAAACGCTAAGGTAGACTCTTATGACAGCCCTGAGGCAGGCAGCTCAGACACCTGTCCTCATTATGGAAATGGGAAAACGCCTTCTAGAGAAGGGACTTGACTTGCTCAAGGTCACATATTAAGACAGCTGAGGCCCTTGTCTGCAAGGAAAGGCGATTGGGGATAGGAGGAGGGCATCAAAGACTAGTGGTGTCACAGTCGGATCACCCATTGAACCCTCTTAAGATAAGGGGACTGAGGATCAGCGAGAGTAGGAGACTTGCCAGAGGTCACACAGCTCTTTGGGATTTGTCTGACTCTGAGTCCAGGGTCCCTAACACCACCCCTTAGCTTCCAGAGGGAAGGCCCTGGAGCTTAGAGGGGCTTGAGGTGCATGTGAGGGGCTATAGGAGAGTCTGAAGAGTTCAAGCGGGAAGAGCTAAAGGAGAACAGAGGTGAAAATTAAAGGGGCTTGGGAGAGAATTTAGCAGGGTAAGAAGGAAACCAAAGAGTTATGAAAGGAAACCAAAGAGTACGGTAAATTCTTTGAGTTCTGTCTCATCTCTACTTCCACTGCCTTAATTTACTCCATCATCGTCACTTGGGCTGTTGCCATTATCCTCTAGTGTTCCCTACTTCCATTCCTGGACCCCTTTACCCCAGTTCCTCTCACTGCTACTATAGTGATCTTTCTTGCCATTTGAAACAGTTATGCTGGCCGGGCGCGGTGGCTCAAGCCTGTAATCCCAGCACTTTGGGAGGCCGAGATGGGCGGATCACAAGGTCAGGAGATCAAGACCATCCTGGCTAACACGGTGAAACCCCGTCTTTACTAAAAAATACAAAAATCTAGCCGGGCGAGATGGCGGGAGGCAGGAGAATGGCGTAAACCTGGGAGGCGGAGCTTGCAGTGAGCTGAGATCCGGCCACTGCACTCCAGCCTGGGCGACAGAGGGAGACTCCGCCTCAAAAAAAAAAAAAAAAAAAGAAACAGTTATGCAGTAAATGAATGAGGATTCTTGCTGTCCTTCCAGCAGCATTGAGATAGTCTCAAGTATTTGTCATCTTAAAAACCTTTCCTTGATGTACATTCCCCAACGAGCTTTTCTCGTTGATCTGTATTTGATCTCTTTTACACACAAGCATCTCTGAAGAGTTGTCTACTCATACTTTGAATACTTTATCGGCATCCATTCATTCTTACCCACTCATGAACAAATGAATAACTGGTTTTGCCCTCCTTTCCTACTGGATCATTCCCATCAACATTTATACATACTGTTATCCCCCCACTGACCTCTAAATAACATCCAAACTCCTTAATGTTCCGCACAAGTTCCTCGCACCCTAGTCCCTGCCAGTCTCTCTCTAGCTTTATCTATTAGCAAACTTCCTTTGAAAAAAAATGGAGAGGAGGGGATGTTCCAGGTAAGGGGAGCAGCAGCATAAACAAAGGTACAGAGGCATGAAACTACCTTAACATTTGGGGATGTTTGAGCAAATTTTCATCATAATGCCTGTTGCACTTTCATTTGTTTACTTTTATGCCTGTCTCTCCCACTAGATAGTGAGCTCCTTGAGGTAGGGAGTCTGACTCATTTATTTCTATATCCTCAGATCCCAGCAAGAGCTTCACTGCCCAGGCTGTCCCTTGCCCTCTCTACCCCTTCACTATGGCAGGCCCAGTTGCAACTGTGGCCACTAGCAGGGTTGACCCTGGTCCTGGTACAGCCCCCAGGGCTGCTTGCAGCTCTGGCCAGGCAGGTGCCATGCCCTACTAAGCAGAAACCCCTGGTGTGGCTCTTTATTGAGGAGGAGCTGGCCCACTACAGAGAGAAGAAAAACAGCCCATCTACATGACAGTGAAGGCAGTGGTGTTTTATGTCACCTCCAGAAAGGAATTTTATGGAAGAAGGGGCCACCTATAATGCCTTGACCAGGAAAGTCCACCAGAGGGATAGCCAAGATGTCCCTGGGTCCTACAGACCTCACCTATGAAACTCGGGGTCTCATGGCCAAAGAGCTGGAATCCCTGGATGATATCTTCACCACAGTGTACAAAACCAAATATCCCATGGTTAGCTACACAGCCTGAAGAATTCTTAATAGGGACAGCACCCCAGCCTGGATTTCAAACCTGAAAACCAACTCCATTTTGACATAAAGAATGTGTTCTGATGTTTCACCTCCAAGAGCAGCTTCTTTGGAGGGTGGGTCAGGGAGACACTAAGATGCTAAATCTTCTGCAAACTAGGCTGCCTAAAGCCTCTGAATCACCAGGATCTGAATAAAACAGATGTTTAACCTAGTTGGGGGGACATATTTTCAAGAACTGGATGTATTCAAGTAAAAGCTTGACACCTAGTAAGGAGGCTGTAGGATTCTTGCCTGAAGAGGTGATCCAGCAAGATGACCTCAAAATTCTAAGTACCCTAAATGTAAGTACCTGAGGGACTAAGCCCTGTGTAAACCTAGGGAACAGCCTGCAAAAGAAAAATGTTACACAGGCCCCTTGAGGATTAACAACAGTTGAATAACAGGATTTCTTTTTCCGGTTTCTTTATTTCTAGGCCTATGCCCAGTTCTTACTAACTGAAGGCAAATTTTTCAACCTCTCTGAATGGCAGTGTCCTTTCTCTGTAGAGGTGGAAAGTGATGCTTTATTATTTTAGAATCCAAAAAGGCCCAGTTGGTTTACCCTTTGGTTTACCTCTGATCAGGTCTGACCCAGCTGCTTTTGAGTCCCGTCTGGAGAAACGCAGTGAATTTCGGAAGCAGCCAGTGGGGCGTTCCAGGCAAGGTGATTTTATCAAATGTGTGGAACAGAAGGTAAGACCTGCCCCCACTGGTGGTGTTTGCTTACCAGCACTCCTTTAACCTCCTTACCCTGGCCGTTATCCTTAAAGTTGGTCTATTGATGGGTCAACTGGGTGAACTAAACATAGTCTCTCCCAACTCCGTTTCCATCCATAAATGTTTATCCTGCTCTTTCTAGGCAAAGTACTGTGGTCGTGGTGGAGATATAGAAGTATGAGAGGGATACTTCCTGCTCCCAAGAGGAGCAGTCTAGTGGTCAAGGCAAGGCACACTTGGCAGCGGGCTAGAGGTATCAGAGAAAATTTCCCATGGGAGATGGAACTTGACCTAGGCTAGGAACGTTGTGGGGGATTTAAATTAAGTAGAGAGGAGGGAATGGGACTTTGATGTAGAGCAGGGGTCATCAAATTTTTTCTGTAAAGGACTAGATGTTAAATATTTTAGGCATTGTGGGCCATATGGTCTTCTTTGTGACTACTCAGCTCTACCATTATAGTGCAAAAGCAGGCCTAGACCGCACATAAATGAATGGGTATGGTTCTGTTCCAATAAAACTTAATTTACAAAAATATTTGGCAGACTAGATTTAGTTTCCTGACAACCAGCCACCCCTGCCAACCCACCCCCATCCATTCCCATGTTGAGGAATTAGCTTAAACAGAGGAAGAGCTTTGAAAGTAAAAGGGGTTTCAGGAGACAGCATGGTACCGTACCCAATTAAAATGGAGAGGGAAGTGTTAAGGCTAAAGAAGTAAGTTAGGCATTAAACTCTTTGGGCTTAAGGAGTACAGGCAGGTTAATTTAGCTGCTAAGAGGGTGAGCTCTGGGGCCAGATGCCAAGGACTGAATCCTAACCCTTCCAGTTACTAGCTGGGTGACTCTTCAGCAAATTGTTACTTCTCCATGCCTCAGTTTGCTTATCTGTAAAACAGGAATAATAACAGTACCTACTTCACAGAGTTGTGCTGAAGAGATAATACCATTTAAAACTCTTTAGCCCCATCCCTGGCATAATAAGTACTTAATATATATTAGCTATTATTATCCTTAAATAGGAATCAAAGCTGAGGAAAAGCATGTTGAAAACTGTGTCTGGGAAGATTATTCTAATGCAGTGTTTTTCAAACTTTTTGACCATGACCCACAGTAAGAAATATATTTTACATTGCAGTTCAGTACACACGTATGTATATGATTGTAACTGAAAAAAAAATATTTTACAAAATAATGCTTACTTTTACAACATGCAGTCCATTCTTATTAATTTTTATTCTTTTTCATCTTTTGAAAAACTCTGATCACAATCCACTAAATGTATTTCACAACCTATTATTTGAAAAATTCTAACCTAGGGTGGTGCACAGAACAAACTGGTGTAGGAGAGGCCAGGACCAGGGAAAATATGGAGTAATCCAGGTGTGCGCTGTAGAAGCCTGAATTAAGGTAGTTATAGTAGAAAACTGGGATTCTACGTTGTGTTTTAAAGTCAAATTAGAAGTGTTTATTTTACTTGGAAAATACTTTCTTTGCTTAAATTTTAAGTGAATCTACTCAGTCTTAGTAACTAGTTTAGTTAATTAGAACAGGATTAATAGTAGATGGGTTGCCAGGCACAGTGGCTCACGCCTATAATCCCAGCACTTTGGGAGGTCGAGGTGGGCAGATCACTTAAGGTCAGGAGTTCAAGACCAGCCTGGCCAACAGGGTGAAACCCTGTCTCTACTAGAAATACAAATACATAACTTAGCTGGATGTAGTAGCGGATGCCTGTAATCCCATCTACTTGGGAGGCTGAGGCCAGAGAATTGCTTGAACCTGGGAGGCGGAGGTTACAGTGAGCTGAGGGCACAGTGAGCTGAGGTCATGCCACTGCATTCCAGCCTGGGCAAAAAAAAAAAAAATAATAGTAGATGGGTTAATTATAACAAGGTTCGGGAGCAAATTCAACTCCTATGACAAATAGTTTACAACTTTATATGAACAAACAATTCCTTCTACAAATATTTTAACAATTGTCATTTCCTATAGTAAACATTTATAGTAGCAAGGTTACAAGTCAATAACTCTTGGAAATATTACTATATTATAAACTCTAAATATTAGATAGGAATGTTCTTTGCCCCTTTTTGGCAAGCAGACTTAATAGTCTCTCCCAACTCCGTTTCCATCCATAAATGTTTATCCTGCTCTTTCTAGGCAAAGTACTGTGGTCGTGGTAACTCCATTTTGATATAAAGAATGTGTTCTGATGTTTCACCTCCAAGAGCAGCTTCTTTGGAGGGTGGGTCAGGGAGACACTAAGATGCTAAATC